CTCCCCCCCCCACTATATATAAAAGTAAGACGTTTTATTTTGATCTATTATTCAATCACCTCTATTTACAGTACTCAAAAAACATAAATCAGGGGACAAATATTATTTGAATTAAAATTAAAATAAGTTATAGTAGGTGTTTGATTTTTAATATTTGATGTTTTTTATCTACAATGTGTTAAAATCCTATCTTCTGAAAGATTTTGTGTGTGTGGCCCTCAACAGCCTACCAAAGCTTGCTAAGTGGCCCTCCAACCAAAATCATTTCCCACCCCTGCATTAAGGCAATATAAAATACGAGGGGCATTGGAAACATTGGAAGTGGAAGTTATGTGGTAGGATTGATGGGCCAGGAAAGTTATTTTTTTGGCTTTAGTTGAACTAGATTTAAATTGGGGGCTGTGGATATCAGGAAAACAGAAGCTTTAGGAATTGAGAACAGAAAGATCCTGACATGAATAAAAGGTTTAGCAGTAAGAGGTTAGAAGAGGAGAAATGAAGCTTTGGAATTTTATTATGAGGAAAGAAATGGCAGGATTTGGACCTCCATGGCAAATGAGGTGGTAGTTAAAGGTGGTAGGCTGTTAAGGATGACTGAGGTTGTAGGACAGGCGGTATTAACTGACAGGGAAGGGGGAAATGACAGAATATTGAGGAAGAAAGTGTTTCTCTATATTGAGGTTTAATTGATCATGAAATGTGTGGAGGCATGGTGGAGAAATAAAAAAGTGTGACTGCTCTTCCCACTTCTGCCATTTTGATTTGATTGAAAGGAAAATGAAAAGACTTGGTCCACAACTAAGTGGTAGGGGCGAGTTGAAGTGACAGTTTAAATTATGAGAGTACATAACACCACCCAAAAATGGGGTTTAAAGGTCACCCACAGAGTGAGGGGAAAAAGTAAGGAGCAAAAAGATTGGAGACCCACGTAGTAATATCCAGAAAGATGAGGGAAGAGGTTCCACTAGGAGAATCTAGCACATTTAACACCAGTATCTTAATCCAAGTAAACTGAATACAAATGAGCATTTCAGTTTGTTTGGTTTTTATTCTTAACCTGTTTCCGATTGCAGGAGTCCTCGGTGTTAAGACTAACAATAACTTATTTTAAACGTTTGTAAGGAGGAACTAAATGTCTGTCCAGCAGGGCTGGTCTTGAAGGTAGAGCAAGATAGACAAGTCAAATGACATGAAGTTATCTTAAATATCCTAGAAATGCCCAAGTTCAGCAGAGCACTTAACATGCACTGAATTTTCATGCTTAGGAATAGTCCCATGGGCTGTGTCCACATGAGTGCAGACATTTGTTTCCCAGGGACAAGTAGCAGCGGCATACCTTTGCCACTGCTACTTGTCCCCAGTGAATGTCTGTGCCACGTGCCCTGTGGCACGTGGCAGGTTATCCTGGGTAGGATAGGGGAGTCTGGCCCCAGGTTATCCTGGGTGGGATAGGGGAGCAACTGTGCTGGCCCCAGGAGCCTTGCCTGGGGTCCTGGGAGCCTCAGCCACAGTGCTCCTCCAGCTGGAAGCCTGGCCGGCAGCTGAAGTGTGGCTCTGGCTGGCCAGGCTCTGGTTTTGGCCGGTGTGTACTTTCACCATATGCACCGCCGCTGTTTTTTTTGGCATGTTTTTTGGGGGGGGGGTTTAAGCCTGAGATCTCCCAGGGTTACCCCATCCCCCCAGTACTGCAAGGTAGCAGTGTAGGCAACACCTGCATGTGCAACGTGTGGAGCTGCAGATGGGTCTGTGGCATCACATACCTCATATCTGTGCTCATCTGGATGCGGCCATGGAGTTCATTTGAAGTAAGTTTGTGCTTAACTGTTTTATGGAATAGAGGTGTAGATGTATGCTTAGTGCATGTATGATGGCTCGATTGTAAATTTATAATAGACCATTCCAAACCAATGATGGCTTGAGCTGCATGCCTGGGTTTTTGTTAGATAATGACTCGCAGCCCAGCTACACACTACCAGTATGGTATTATTCCAGGTTGTTACAGTGACATGTTTTTCTTCCCATGTGCTATTTAGTATGTGCAGTTCACCTCTATGTTTCCAATTTATGTTTCAGTTAAACATTGGTATTGGTGCTCTCCTACAATATTGGAGGGATCAAGTCTCTCTTTGAAACAGTACTAAATACTTTTTTCCCAACTTAAACCTTTTTGTATGGTACCTTCCTAAACAGTATCTGCTTGTTATATGCTGTCTGTATTCTGCAAGAACATGGTTCATAAACCAATTCCAATATTTTATCTAGGTAACAATTCCCTCCCACCCACCCTAGGAAATATTTTCAACTTCTGAGTTAAATTACAAATCGTAGTGTATTTTGATGAATAAGTCAAGGTAAAGTAACTAAAGATAGCAGCACTTTGGAGTTTTGACAGTTTAGGGGAAAATGGGCTTTATGTTCTGTCTCCATTTTTTTGGCATAGTGTTGTCCAGTACAGATAAAAATAAATCAAATGTCTTTTATGTTTTCTTAATTGTTAGCTGCTTGGAAAATTATGAGTCGGGTAAATTTGTAACCTTGTAAGTATTATTCAGTCCACAGTTGCACTCTTACCCTTCATTTATCTGCTTTAAATGCATGACGACCTTAAGATGGCTGGCTTCACTGCTGCATTATCATTGTCTGAGGTATAGAAGTGTTCAGTTTAGTTGCAGTTTTCCAACAGGGCTGCATGGCTTGTTCTGTCTGCTTGGCAAAATTGTTCAGATCTCCATGCTCCAAGATTGAATTACTTAAAAATTCATTCATAGAAAAGCAGACACTTTTGTGTACAGTGAGGCATCACTTGCCAGCTCATCCAACGTTCACTAACCACAGCTGTTTTTCTCACAGCTCATATTAGATGCACGGATTAGACACTGAATAGATTTTGTTTTCTTCCTAGATGGCACTTCATATGCTGTGAATTTATCAAGACACCTTATTTAAGAATTTAAGTGAATGGTCACTTGATGTTGGAAAGAGTGTATAATTTGAAGTAATGAGCAAAACTGTTCTATTAAACTGTTTGTACATGCTATCAATGCTACTTTACAAGGTTTCTAAATACTGTTATCTTCTAGCAAAATGGGTACATAACATAAGTGAAGGTGAGGTGTGGTGTTTGTTTTGTTTGTTTTTGGCCAGTTATTTTCAAAATCACAGTTGTTAAGGCCTTGATTAAATAAGAAGAAAGGGATTTTAGGCAGTGTGGGTTAAGTGGATTTGACCAAAAGGAAAGTGAAAAGGACTTGGTCCACAACTAAATTTTAATTTAAGTGCTAATCCTGACCAAGGAAGAATGGGCTGTGATAGCCAGTTGGCATTAATAGTTAATTTCAGGATGGATTTTATGTTCGCTAACCAAAGCTTAGCAGATTCTTTGAGCGTGGTTTGTGATGAGAGAATATTATTTCTTAGAAATGAGAAATTCTATTAGTTATTGATGTTGATGATACAAACAACTCAGTTTTCTGAAGAAAGCTGCTAAAAAGGGCATCCTGGATAATAAAAACAACATAAATATTTGCTAACTTGAAGTATCAAATGCTAAATTGGGTAATTACATGCTAAAGCATTAAGTTAGGTTGGCTAACATGAATGCAGATTAGACTTTTGGAAACTTCTAATACAGCTGAAAATGTCAATTTTGAGATGCTAATTACCATATTTACCTAAATTGAAGACTATTCTAATTTAAGATGACCCCCCAAACAATTCTATTCTGTGCATGGAGAATAATGTTATAATTTTCTGTGTATAAAGTCTAACTATTGGAGGGTCATCTTAAATGCTTTCCCCTCCTATACCACTGTGGCAGGGAAAGTAGCAATAGCAGGGGCAGGCTGCCAGAGCCATACTCCACACTCCTTGCCCGCCCCTCTGCTCCCCTTACCCCTTGTCACTTATCTTCTGTGGCAGCTCTGGCTCCACAGCAGTCAGCACCAGTGGCCCTAGCCAGGCAGAAGCAGCAGCAGCTGTATGCAGGATCATAGCCGGCACAGAAGTCAAATGGTGGGGGGGAGGTGCACAATGGTGGGAGGATGCAGGTTTCCCCTGTGCTCCCCCCAACCATCACACCGTGGGTCTCCCCCATGTGCCCTTCCCCTTCTCGATCTCCCCCAAGGTCGTCCACTCCACCATGTGGTCTCCTTTGGGCAGGTCTTGCCACACACCTCCTTTTCCACAGCACAAGCCACCCAGCCCTGTGGACATAGCAGCTCGGCTCTAGTTTTGTCCTGGTCTGGAGCTGGGTCTACAGCAGCCACCTAACATAATACAAGATTGCAAAAAGTTGAAAGGTCAAAGATTACAAAAATAGCATACCAAATGACATTCAGCTGAGATTATTTGAAGGCTGCAAAAAGTGAGCCTGAAAAATTACCTTCATGTGTGAGTATTGCATCATGGTGCATTAAGTTTTTAAAAATACTAAAACTAGTACTTGAATGCTTTGTAACATCCTGTGTAACTTAGTCTGCTTGCCTTTGTTTAATGTGGTTCTGCAAGAAAAATAGACATTTTTTCCTCTCCTTAATCTAGATTGGGGGTTGCTACAGTCTTAACGTCTTTTCTGTGCGTGACAACAAATTATCTCGAATTCCCCCTGAAATTTCACAAGCCATTGAGCTTCATGTGCTAGATGTCGCTGGAAACAGGTAAAAGATTTTATAATTTCATATTCCTTTGCTGGTATTTCTTTGTACACTATAAAGAAATGTTCTTTTATGTTTGAGAACAAAGTGGCAAAAACTTTTCCTTCTTTATTAGTAAAAATATTATGAATTTACCAATGCAATCCTCCTTCTTAGTTTCATAGTTGGTAGAGTTGGAAGGGACCTGAGCAGATCATCAAGTCCGAACCCCTGCCATGGCAGGAAAGAGTACTGGGGTCAAACGACCCCAGCAAG